GTACAGAATGATGTTAAAGTGTTCAAATATTGGTAATTCTAGTTTATATTACAACTACAAATATTAGTATATATACTAATATAAAAGTTGTCCACATTATATTTCTTCTGCAACATCATTGTGAACCTTTGTAATGATACGTTTGGTCATTAACTTCTAAATGCATTATTATGCAAACACATGAGGAGAGTCTCCGCATGAGAGACCCACGACTGGTAGATCAAAGTGCTACTACAGTTCTCTCCGAAACGGTAGGAAATTAAATTAAATTGAATGTGGAGAAATTTAACTGTGACTAGATGATTGACAGGGCAGTTTAAACTGTGACATGATGCATGCAACTAACCGACAGAGCTGTCTGTTAAAGACACAATTATGACGTAGTGTGTCCCAAAGCTTCTGCTACACACTCAAAATGTACTTTTCTCCATAAAAGCAGTTCATACTTTTACGCAGCACATGGCTAGAAGCTAAACAAGACAGTGACAGTCTGCAGGGTCTTATCTGTGATTGCATGTGTGTATCAGATATGAAGGCAGCAGGGGGCCAGTTCTCCCAACACGTGTGCGCCTGGCAGATCTGTGGACTTGAATACTAAGCACGCGGCTCTGGTTGTGCATCTTCATGTCATGACACATCTTTCGTAATTTTCAATTGTGGTAACAACTCTGATGATGGAAAGACACAGTCCACTTCTTCACACATTTCCTATTACAAAAATATTACAAAATAATTCACTTTGAACATTTTGTAAACATTTGAAAAGTGGGTAACGCTTTAGATTACAGCCCGGAAAGTACTGTGTAATTAAGAGGAATTTACAGTGTAACTTTCTGTAATTATAGTGTACCTATAAAGTACTTACATGTAAGTGTAAGGGAACAATATGTAAAGTTTGGGGAATAAAGGGGTAACAATCAGGAGAAATAAAAAAAATTTTATACTGTAAGTATTATAGAACTAAGGGGTGCTTACTATTATGATACAACAATCTTACATTTGGGAGCAATTTAGCGAGAACATACACTGCGTACCTTTTTGTAATAATTGTGTGCTAAGGCAATACATACTGTATAGGCTTTTTAAAAATGACAGGGTACATATCTATGCATTTATAAAAAAAAAAATATATATATATATATATATATATATATATGTGGGAAAAGGAAAAAAAGTGTCCAGGGTGCTCAAGGAGTTAAAAAAAGTAGTTAAAAAAAGTGTATGAAGGTGCTCTTTGGGGTCGGGAATTCAATAACATGTAGTAGAAGGAAATCAAAGGCACTCTTCTTAGGAATTAATAAAAAGCCTTTATTTGACTGGCTATTTCATAATTCATCATATTATTCATCATATATTTTAAATGTTCTGTTATGAAATAGCCAGTCAAATAAAGGCTTTTTATTAATTCCTAAGAAGAGTGCCTTGGATTTCCTTCTACTACAAATATATATATATATATTTTTTTTGATAGCAAAAGTGCAGATGTTTAAGTTTGGGCTAACATGTTTCAAGGCAAGAAAAGCTAAGACTGGTTTCATGTGGTTACAGGGTAAGTGGTGCTTGTATATTAAATAAAGGTTTCCGAGTCAGTGATATAAGATTGTGTGTATGCATTTTTATTGTACTTACCCTGTAACTACATGATGTAGTTACAGGGTAAGTACAAGGAACAAGAGGGTAACAAGAACCACTTTAATTTACAGCCCGCAATGTCACACTTACCCTGTAACTACATGGAACAAGAGGGTAACAAGCACCACTACATGAAACAAGAGTATCTTTCCCCAATATTTAAGCAAAAGTTGCAATAGTTTTCGTTTTCAGTGCACTTTTGTAAAAAAAAAACACTTTATAAATGCATAGATTTGTACCCTGTTATTTTTAAAAAGCCTATACAGTATGTACTGGTTCACCATTATTTCAAAAAGGTATGTTCTTGCTAAATTGCTCCCAAATGTAAGATTGTTATATCATAATAGTAGAATAAGCACCCTTTAGTTCTTTAATACTTACAGTATAAGTAATTGTTTAATTCTCCCGGTTGTTACCCCTTTATTCCCCAAACTTAAAATATTGTTCCCTTATACTTATATTGTAAGTACGTTATAGGTACACTATAATTGTAAACCGAAGGTTACGCTGTAAAATCGATTTAATTACGCAGTACTTTCCAGGCTGTAATCTAAAGCGTTACCGAAAAGTGCAGGCTGAAAAAGTGTTTATCTGATGCAGTTGTGAATGTGCCTAATTTCTAATATGTATCTGGCACTTTCTGCAAATGTGGTATTATATACCTTGGTGTTACATTACTTTTTTAAACGTTCAAGATAAATCCCTTTTTTGGATGTGTGAAATACAAATTATTATCTGACATAAAATAAACTTAGTATGACAATAACAAAACATGATGATTTTGATATTTAATACATTTTAGTACAAATATTTTATTTGATGCCCAAATGCATGATTTAAAAGCATATTTAGCTGTGTCCATCATTTTGCTAACAACCCTGTTAGTGCATTATTTTCCCCATTGCAAAAAATCAAATAGTCTTGTCATTACGTCAGTCAATTATAAACAGCAGAGTGTGTCATTCTTGTTTTGTAAAGAAATTTTACAAAAGCAAACATTGTATAATGCGGCCTGTTTGTTAGTGTTTTTAGGCCATTGTTTTAGTGACAAAGTGAGTTTGTTGGTTGACAACTTTTGCTGGTGTTATGGAAGAAAAAGTTGATTTGAGACATGAATGAAGTGTTTAGTAGTTGTAGTCCATGTTAGTGCTGTGCAAAACTAAAAGTTTGTTAGGAGAACTGTGTGAAGAGATTTGAAAAAGTGATCTAAGTCTTGAGAAATGTGTCCTAGCAATTGTAAAAAAACAAAAAAGAAAAAGTATATTTTGCTTAAAATCAATCGTAACTGCAATCGTATACATCCTGATGACATCCACACCTTAAAATTGAAGCATTGTATGATTTTCTCACGTGAAAATATCATCTCCACTCCCACCTTACATTCCTTATCTCACACATTACAGTGCGTTACAGTGCGTAACTCCTGTGAGAATCGCTCTTTATCACTTTAGCACTGTCTGGTGGCTTACATGAAACAACTGAAATCTCCTGTTTTTACCGAATATAGCACCCTCAGTATGATTCAGTATCATTTCCCCATATCTCATGAGCCAAAGTGCTCAAATCATCCGTTGCACATCGAGAATCAGTTGTGTTTCGTGACTGTTTTTGGAATGAGCCTATATTGCTCATCATATTGCACAGTATATATTTTTACACTTGTTGTACTGGAATATTTGTCTGGCAGCCATTAATCTGTGACACACAGCTCTTGATGAGTCTGAATGTCTCATCATAGAGCGATTTCCTTCAGCTATAGCAAACCCCCTCAAGCATTTAATGCTCATTGTGTTCACACGCTCTCTTGTTGCTCGAAATTGTAACAAGTAGGAGAGGATTTGCACGGCAGGTGAAATTAAATGATGAAAAACTGGCTTATAATTGCAGTGAGTATAAACAGCCCTCAAAAATCCTTCTGTAGAGTTTAAGACATCACAGTTTCAAAATATAATAGAAACATATCAAACATCACTCTTTTATGAATTATAATAGAGATTCCTTAAAGTCACCCTGTAGTCAGTAATTGTAGGCCTATCCCTTAAAACTCATCTTTGATCACCAAAAAGACAAATTTCCTGTGAAAAAAATTCTTCATGCCTTAAAATATCTTGAATGCAACTCTACACCCTTGCTTCATTTAGCGTACGTGGATCTATGAATACGCAAATTAGCCCCGCCTCCCTTCACTCACGCCAGCTCAGAGATTTTTTAGCCAACTTACTGAGGTAAACGTTGCACAATGGTATAGTATGGCTCTTTAAAACGTCGGACACATAACTGTAATTAATATGATTAGCCTTTTGGTTGACTATGTTATCAAACAGCTAATAATGTGTTGCTAATGTTACGCAAACTATGTTCCCGTTCAGTTCGCCATCTCAGTCTGCCTTCTAACAATCATCAGAAATGCTTTGAACAACACAGAACGTCAGTGGAGAAATGCATAGTTCATTATAACATCGTAATATAACCATACACCCTATATTGCTAAATATACCAGATTTTTCATATTAACAAAAAAATATACCAGGATAACCTGGCATCTCTCGAGACTCTCCTGCTAGTTCGCTGTAATTGATATGCTAAAGCCCGCCCCCTCGTGACGTGATTGGTTACAAGGTAGTTTGTGACGTCAGAAACACCAGCTATTTCAAACCGCGTTTTTGAGACTGTCTTTGGTTCACCGCCGTTTTAAAGATAAAATACTCAGCAATGGTGTTGACTTATGAATTTGCACATGGTTTGTCTTAAAGCACATTGAAAACACCATAGACATATAAACAACATATAAAAACTTGATTTTCACCACAGGGGGACTTTAAGTTAGAATTCTTATCTAGAACAACATGAATGTAATTGGTATTTTGTTCAGGATTTGGTGTCTTTTGAGATATTGAGAAAGGTTAACTCAACATTAAAGAGATTGAAAGTCTTGTCACAGATAAAAATGTGCCTACAGGGCAGTAACAAAATACACACGCACACACACCATGTAATCGCTGTATCGAATGAAGGAAAAGAGCTGGAATAGCAATAATTCCATACTGTGAACTTTCAAGACATATAAAACACAAGGTGACAAACAGAAAAAAAGGAAAAAACAGTTATACAAGTATGTGTGTGTGTGTGGGGGGGTGCTTGTGTATGTGTCCGTGTGTGTGTGTCTGTGTGTGTGTGTGTGTGTGTGTGTGCGGTGAGAAAAAGAGTGGTAAATAGTGGAAATGTCTTTACAGAAAAGCAGAGGTTAAGCAATCAAAGCTCCTTAATCGAGAATAAGGTGTCAAAGTGAAATGCCATTTGAGAGGGCGGGTGAGAGAGAGAGAGAGAGAGAGAGTGAGAGAGAGAATGAGAGGTATTCACAGTGAAGGATGCACACATACAGTCTGTGCTGGCAAGGACAGCACCTCATCTTTGGAGATTGTGACGATGCAGATTCAGCCGTAGCTGGTGTCGGTGTGATGTGACAGGAGACTGAGACTGAACCTGAGGTTTGGCCATGTCTGAGTTCAGGTCCAGAGTGCGCTGTCGGAGAGCAGGTGTCCGTGCTGCTGTTGCTCTTATCGGACTCCTCCACCGATCCCGCAAACGGTGTGAGAGACAGAGACTGACGGAGACGGACAGCCAGTGGTGGGTGAATGTCATTTGAGGTTGTATATGTCTTTAGCCTATGTTGTGGAGAGGGTCCAACGCACGCACGTGCGCGTGTGTGTGTGTGTGTGTGTGTGTGTGTGTGTGTGTGGAGAGAGAGAGAGGTCAGAACATTCATATGCATTATTTAAGTTTTTAGTCGAATCAACACTACGGTACACAGATCAGTTTTAGGATTCTGTAACAGTAAAGTTTGGCTAGAAATTGAAACTGAATGTTTTGGGGAGCTTGAGCTCAATTAATTCTAGTTCTTAATGCCTACATGTCCTGCACTCTTTATAAGCTAATTGTGCTTAGTGATTTGTAATGCTCTCTGACCAAAAACAAGGGAATTTTGAATAGATTTATGATTTTATAAACAATATAACTAATAGTAATAATTGTTAATGGTGATTAATGTAAGCAAATTGTTCAGCGTTGAATAGAAGTCATATTTTGCTCCAGTACTGTACATGATTGATTTTAAAATATTGACTTATAACATTATATTTCAACATAACTTTTAACATCTTGATTTCAGAATCAAAATTAATTTCCCAGCAGATAGATTAATGAATATTTATGAGAGGAAATGTGCCCTTCTGTGATGGAGAGGTAAAGACTGTCAAATAGATAGACAGACAGACAGACAGATTTGTTTTGGCTGTCAACATATAGTGCTAAACTTGATTATTTTATTCTACAAAAATATATTTTGTGAAATTATGAAATGACCCAGTCACTCTTGCTGAGTTGTCCAAGAAAGGTGTTTTCATGTTGACTAAAATGACAGACAATAAGCTGTTCACATCCTTTCAGAGGTGTAAAGAGAATTCTCCTGGTCAGGATGTGTTTATTTCATTTGGTGCCAATTATTCAGTATATCTCCTTGTGATTTTTGGAAGCTAAACTAGACATTTTTATGTACGTGCAGACTGGATTCATTTGGCTAGTTTTGGGAGTGTTGAGTATGTGAGAGAAATACCTTGTCAAGCATAATGAACGATATGTCACTTTCAGCCTAATATGAATATATTGATGGATTTATGGGATCTATTTACAGAGAGCTTATGAAGGATTGGTTGGGTATTTTTAGAGCCTTGTTCATTTCTCTCTCCAACCTCCCCTTGCTCCCCCTTTCTGTCTGCTTCTCTATCCGTACCTCACTTACGAAGAGGAAGGTAGAAAGCGAAGGAAAATTAATCTTGAGCAGGAGCCTCTAGATCCTCCACCTGTCAGCCTCCTATCCAGAGAGCTCATTTAAAGAACAAATTGCCCATCTTTGGCCCATTTTTTATTGATGATCTTGAAATCATGTGAGGGTCAAATCGGAGAGGTACATTCCCAAAGAGTAAAAGGAGAATGAGGCAATAGGCTTTCAGTGAGGATCCTGTCTGTGTGAAGATGACACTGCAGACCACCCTACGAAATTCAATAGTCAGCTTTTAAAGGTGCACTCAGTATTATTTGTTTATGTTTCGCTAGCCAAAGCATCATGTAAAGGCAATAGTTTTCAGTCATGGTTAAATTATTCCACCACAAAAATTATAATTATAATGTATTTCCATTCAGTAGTGACTGTATATTTGACCTTTTAATGTTATTTTAAAAGTGTGTAATGGCGGTGATGATGTCACTGTGTTGCAGGAAGCAGGAGTTGCTGACCATCTCCAATGTGCCCCTGGAAGACTGCCCTCCCTCTCCCCCCAGAACCGCCCCTCCCGCCATGAAGGTAAGCGGCACGTCTGCTCTCAGGGCCTGTTATGAATCAGCACTGAAAGGGGATTTGCTCAGAGAGCTTACAGCTGCAAAAAGGCATGGAGTCAAGCATAACATTTCATAAATAGTTTCATTATAAAGCAGCAATTATTGACTCATTTGGTTCAGGCAGATAAAACCATCTTTACTCCCTCTCTCCTGGAGACAAGACCCCAGCATAAACCTGTAGCTGGTGATGTACCCTACTTACTCAGTAGACCGTGACTTCAGACATCATCCCCTAGGTAGTCTATATGTTCCTCAAAGGTGGAAGAAAGGAAAAGCAAACTCGTCAATAGTACAATAGTCACAAGTATAGTGAGATTCATTTTAGTTATGTTCTGATGTGAACATAAATTACATGTTCCAACTTGCCTCACAAAAACAACTAGACTATTACCTACTGGATATATATATAACATTCAGGGTACCAATACAGAACCATGAGGAACCTCAAAAACCTTTCTTTTTGAATTTTTTTAGATTAGATTAAATTTTAGATTAAAAAAAATTAATCTATGCATGTTTATAACACTTTGTCAGATCCATTGACATACTGTGAAATCAGCCGCTACAAACTTGTTGTTGATCTGTAATATGAAGGGAAATACTTGGCATGTTATATGTTAGCCTAAAGATTGACCTCTGTTTCTTTTTCAACAGTCTACTCAGTTTTTTGACGTGCTGGAAAAGATGGAGGTAAGAAGTGAAATCCTTTTGATAGTATGATTTATATATGATATAAATATTTCAGGATTTCCCCATTAAAGTAGATAGGGCTTGGTCTGGATGTCCGAAATAGCTGCCCGGAGGGGCTGCAAAATGGCCGCTGAGTGAACAGACTTTCCTCAAATGAGTCTTTGATGCATTCTGTGCCTCTCATGCTCAGCACTCCTCCACTGTCAGTTGCTAACACTGCAACCTTTTGACCCTGACCCCTTAGCAGGTTTCTGAGGTGGAGGAAATGAGGCCACAAAGAGTAAAGGTCAGAGGGTGTGAAAAAACTACAAGATTACACCTCAGCTCAGTGCTTGTCTGTGTTTCAGAATTGTAGTATTTTCAATGCATGAGGTTGGCTTCTTTAGATTAAGGTAATGATTGTGAGATCAAAAAGATCAAAGGTAATGATTGTGCCCTGCACAGAGGGCTCACGGGTTTTATCCACTTCGTTCAGATCACCCTGACAGACCCTAAAGTCTTATTGATTAACTTCATTGCTAAATTGTAAACAGTATGTCCTCTGCCCTTTAAAGGGTTAGTTTGATGTGTATGTGCACTGAAAAAAAATAGAAACATTTCATATTTCCAAACATTCAAGTTAAATTTAAATTTAAAACATTTTTTTTAAATGGCTTACAGGCAAAATAACAACAAAGGCAACCACTGAAGATACAATCCTACGCTCAAATGCATGTTCATTCAGATTGTTCAGACAGCCTAAAAAAAAAAGTTTGTTGCAAGCATGACTGTGAAGCATTGTGTGGACTGCATGTAATTTCTCACATAATGGGGTTGCATGAGCTAAACATATGCCTCATATCACGCTTCCTGTCATGGCACAAGAATCTTTCCAAAGCACTGTTAAGATGTCCATTTACAGCATTATCTTATATTTATATTACTATTACCCCTCCAGGATGATTACATTCCATACCCACGGATAGAGGAGGTACAGCAATTTAAGTCACCTGTTACTAATAATTGTTTCTAATAGCACTTTATGTGTATCAGACGTCAGTCTCTTTCTATTTGTTTGATTTCTCTTTCCAAGGTGTTACAGCGGGGTGAGCCATACCCTCAGGTCATCCTGCCTGAGTTCGGTGGTTACTGGATTGAAGATCCTGACGCACCTGCCGCCATTCCGAATTGGATGAATGGCTTCTGTGATGATGAAGATGGAGAAGGAAGGAATTCAGGAGAGTTTGGCTACGCACTGGAGAGTAACTTCGCCATTCGAGCGTACCGCAAGCACTTTATTGGCAGGGTGAGAACTCACATCAATATAGTGGTGTTATACTTAAATGGACCATCAGACAAAGGCTTTTGGCAAATATTTGTGTGAGATCATTTTAAACGGATCATTCAATGTCAGAGCTGGGATAATCGGCAGTCGGTGTAATTTAACGCTGTGTTCATGTTGGCAATGAATTGGTTCACAATTAAACCGCTTTCTCTTATCTGCCGGTCTCAGGAACATCTGAACTTCTACTGCACGGCCAGTAACCATGGCAACCTCGTACTGTCCCTCAGACACGAGGAGGTGAAGGAGCAAGAGTACCTGCACATCATTCTCAGGTAATAACATCCCTTTCAAACACTCTATGTGTAATTACATGATTGGCACATTTTGAAACGTTTGATTGCATTTTTCTATCAATTTCTGCCTTGTTTAGGGCTCCATCGAAGACCGTCTATGACAGGATCTCTTTGGCAGGCTTGACTGAGCTCCCCAGTGTCCCTCAGTTAGCAAAGGTAACATGGCTCACAGGTTTTATCCACTTCAGATCACCCTGACAGACCCTAAAGTCTTATTGATTAACTTCATTTCTAAATTGTAAACAGTATGTCCTCTGCCCTTTAAAGGGTTAGTTTGATGTGTATGTGCACTGGGAAAAAAATTGAAACATTTCATATATCCAAACATTCAAGTTAAATTTAAAATTCTCCCCCCATGGACCTTTTTCACGGACTGTGAAGTTATCAATATCGCAAAACTATAGATTTTTTGTTTTAAAACACTAATTCATAACACTATACTCTGTGTTATGTTACCTTGGCAGTAAATTACAAAAATGAATCAATGCTGCTGCGAATTTGACATCTTTCTCTCTTTTGACTGCTGTAATCAATCTCTCGATGTTTTGCCTCTTTTGGAAAGTCATGGAAATGCCAATACAGCTTTTTATCTTTTGCTTTTAGAGCAATTACAAAATGACCAAAATTGTACCTTTTCAACGCTATAGAATTTTACCCAGTTATGCCGACGTCCGCTTCTGAGAACCCCAGAAATGGTAAAAGGGTCCATTGTTTTGTGAATCTGTCTCTATGAAATGCATCTTTGCAAAGATGCTGTTATTGAAGGATGGAGGCGGTCAAAGTATGTTATTAAAAAATATATATATTGGATATGACAGTAAACCCATAACCCCTGTCTGAGTGGAGTTTCTCATTTTGCATGCAAATGTGGCATTTCTTACAGACACATCAACAAAAAAACAGACCATTTGTTTGTAAGATTCAGACAGAGGGTGGAAAATATTTCTGAAAAACAACATTATATGCTTTTTTGAGTGTTTTTTTACAATTGTAAACAGTATGTCCTCTGCCCTTTAACAGTATGTCCTCTGCCAGTATCTCCTGTCTTCTGCCCATAGAGTGTGTTTGTCACAAAATAGTAACATTATAAATGAAATACAATACAATATTTATAAAATGATATGACCTCTTTAAAGAATTAAATTACTGAACCGTAATAGTCATACTATTACCTACTATACCTACTATAAGTGGCTTGACTAAGTTTGTGTTTTTGTGATGTCATTGTTTCCCCACTATAGCTACTGTGTGAAGACATTGTAGGTCTGAGATTTAGTCCTGTGCTGTACCCAAAGGTGAGTCCAAGATTAATATTATGTTTTTATTATAAATATTGTACTAAAATTAGGGGGAATATTATTATTCCTTCTTCCTCTTCTTCTTCTTCTGCTCTTGAAGTCTAAGGCAGCCCATAGAATTGCTTGCGGGAAAATGGTGAAATTTGCAACACGTATAGAGCACAGTCTGAACATTAACCACAGAAAATTTAGAGTCTCTAACTCAATCCCTCTAGCGTCACCAACTGTCCAAATTTGTTATAGACACAACATTACTGTTTTTACTGAATTTTTGATTAAATAAATGCAGCCTTTGTGTACAAAAGATACTTTTTTCAAAAATGTTTTGACAGGTACTGTATACTGTATATGGGTAGTTGACAAATGGCCAAGAAAAAGTACTTTTTTTGGAAAACATAATTTTTCAAGAAAAAATACATATATTTATGGAGTATGAAAACTGCAGTTTCAGAAAATAGTAGTGGTCACTCATTTTGTCAATGACTTCACATATTTTTTTCACGTTTTCACTCAACACTACTGTAAATGTGTCCTATGGTGTGACATTTAAAAAGTATTAAGAAATTATATTAAATAACATATAAAAAAAATACTTGAGAGAATTGTTCACATTATTAAAACATTTTTTATGAAAGTGATATTTATTTTACATGAAAGTACAAATTAAAATAATTTTCACCATGAATAGATGAACTTGATAAACTTTTCCCTACGAATGTCAATAAAACTTTTTCGCCAACCTTACAAAACTGTTTGAAATTGTACCCATCTAAGAGGAGATATTATTGAAACTCCCCTAATGCCAAACTTGACTCTTTTTTAAAAAGATATTTTAAAATAAGTATATTTTTCTGTTGTTTTATGTTTGTCACACCATAGGACAAAACGTCACACCAAAGGATTAAGATAGTCATTGCATAAAAAGAGTCAGAATGTATAGTGTTTATAGTAACAATTATAAAGGAGGACATTTGTTTTTATTTTTCAGCAATATAAACTGTGCAAAACATATTACACCAAAAGTAACTTTGATTATAGATCCATCAATAAGGAAACACTGACTATGTTTCCATCCACACGTTTTTATCCGAATTAAGTGATATCGAATTAAAAATGCCTTATGGAACTCATATGAAATGATATCGACTCAAATGAAATGCGTTCGGTCTCATCGGATTTTGTCTTGATGGATATACGGCTTATGCGATAAACGCTGATGGAAACGTTATTATGGCGCGATCCATTTTGTCTAGCAAAACTTTGTTCGCGAATGTTGTGCAATTCGGTGAGAAAATGAATGGAAAATGTCTCAAATCAATTCGATATACCAATTTGATCGCAAAACAGCATGTGTCATTACGCACAGGTTTTTATTCGCTTTAAAGCCGTTGGATGGAAACACACTTTCACCAGCTTTATTCGCATGAGGTTTTTTACCGAACTTCGGATAATTCGATTGACAAGTGGATGGAAACTTGGCTTCTGACATGAAAATAAAATCCCTAAAAACATTGCATAAGTTTAGTTTGTCTCTTCCTTCCTAGTGCTTTAATGTTGAATGTATCCAATTCCCAGAGAGCCTTCTTTTCATGATATCTGTTTGAAATAATGATAGAATATAGATGAATGGATCAACAGAGAAATTAATGTAATGTATACTCAATTATGAACTCATGACCTACTGTGTTTTCCCTACAAATGTAACCACTTACTTGTCAACTTCTTATAAAACACAATATAGATTATTATTCTGTAATAACAAGCTTATTATGTAACTATTGTTGAACCTGAACCTCACACAGGTCTATTCTGATACTGAACAATTAGCAGTCGTTCAGATCCCTGAATTATTTTAAGATGTATATGATGTATATGGCAACATTTCAGTTTGATTTACTTTCTCCGTCGTTCTCTTAGGATCGCCTCCTTTCTCTGTGGATCCTTTTTAATTTGCTCCCTATACTGTCTGGTCCTCTCTTTTGCACTCATCTCTCCCTCAGTTCTTTCTGTTCTAAAAAAAGTTAAGTAGCATTATAAAGTAGTAGCACTGTATTTATGTACTTTATATTTGTTTATAGTTGTTACATTATACATTATAGTTGTTTTAGTAACACTTCAGAACATTTTATGCAATGTCCAAAAAATGGCAATAAACATTAAAATGTAAGTCATTATTGAATTTAAAATCATCAAAACTGGTCAAAAAATAATGAAAAGTATGTTAACAAACTTTATCCATTTGTTTTAATAGCTTCTTAAGGAGGTCTTGTCCTATTGTGTGACATCTGTGTCCTATGGTGTGACAGGCCAAAGTGTCACACCAAAGGACATTTCCTGTCACACCAAAAGACATTTGAGCTTTTGTGGCATGCTAATAACCATGCTAATGCTAGCTTAACTGTCATTAGCAATTGGCATGATACATTTGCATTATATTACATAGTCCTGTGACGTGGTGAAAAAGCCACGTCACGTCAACTACCCATATACATATTTATTTACTTTTTATAATCACATGATGTTTATCCCTATTTGTTTTTATGAAATATTTCATAAACACAATATTGCTTCTGGCTAAATATTAATTTGTCAGATAAAAACCTATTACACATTTTAAAATTCCCAGAATGTTTTGCAATAGATTGTAACTGTTTCGGCAGATTGTTTAATAAAGCAAATACTAATGAGATGGTTTAACCCCTTAACTGTCACCACCCCCCCCCCCCCCCCCCCCCCACCCCCCTCCCCTTTTTGAGAATGGACATTAAAATGCACTATTCAAACTTAAATGGTTGTAATTCAAGAATACAGACCTAAGTTTGGTCGTTTTTAAGAAAAGCATATTATTGCTGAAGTGAAAGCACTTGAAAAAATTAAAGTGTGAAAAGTTATGGAAGTTTACTTAAATTATTTAAGTAAATCAAATATACTGTACTTAATATTTTTTCTTTTATATAAAATATATATATTTTACAAAATATTTTTTTACTATAAAATTACTATAAAATCAAAGCCATTATCTAACCAAGTTGTGTTCCATATTTGAAGTTGATATCACAAAAATTGAAGTTCCCATGAGATTTTGTTTAGGCGTAATACCAAAAATAGCCACCGGGTGACATACATGCCATTGAATTTAACTGTATGCATTCTGCCATAACAAATTAATACATTTCTTTCCAAATATCACTTCTATCACAAAATATGGAACTTTGAAACAGACCTTTCTGACAATATGTGTTTTGCAAGATTAGAAAAGGTTTTGATCATAAATTATGAAACATTATGACTCCCAAAAGGGGATGAGCCCGATAAAAGAATTTAGAGTACCGTTTCTATAGTAATGCAATGTCCAATTTCACAGGATGAATTTTGAGTTCGTAAGCTTTCAAATGATACCTAATTTATGATAACTACTAAAATATGCGATGTAATAAAAAAGACGATAGAAAAGATAATATTATACTTTTTAGAGGATAATATTATTTTATAATTTGTTATTGACAAATTCTAGGTTATATGTTTTATTATGAACTTTTAGCATGAAACCCAAAGTTTAAATTATTAAAAGTGTGTGCGTCGACTTTTTGTGACAAAGGTCAGAATTTTTGGGGTGCACTCTTGTCATAAATTCATCTATTACTGTTCCTACATAATTTGTAACAAAAAACATCTATTTAGGAGTCTTAGACCTTTCCAACGATATATAGTTTGTCATGATTAGATTAGGATTTAATTGTAATATGGTAAATGGACTGCATTTATATAGCGCTTTCACAGACCCAATGGCCACCAAAGCGCTTTACAATTTGCCTCACATTCACCCATTCATACACCGACAGCAGTGTCAGCCATGCAAGGCGCCATCCAGCTCGTCGGGAGCAGCTGGGGTTAGGTGTCTTGCTCATGGACACCTCGACACTTGGTCAGGTGGAACCGGGGATTGAACCACCAACCTTCCGGTTTGTAGACAACCTACATGAACCACTGAGCCTCTGCCGCCCCCAATATAGTGAAGTAAACTAGTTCAAAACCGCTAGCGGGACTTAAGAGATAAAAAACATGTTTTGCATTGGAGTCTTAGTGAAATTAAACTTCAGGAGCCAGTCAAAGCTGTATTGATGAGGAGCATATTAATTGTTTGACATTTATCTTTGTTTATTCTTGTTTTTTGCAGGGCTCTCAATTAATAGTGAATTATGATGAACATGAGTTAAACAATACCTTTAAGTTTGGTGTCGTCTACCAAAAGTTTGGGCAGGTGAGAAAATGATTGTTGTTTGTGTGCAGTTCACTGACCATTATAAATATATATATATAAAAAAAATGGGTACCTGGTCAGGCTGAGGTTCTCAAGGACACTTCAACAGCTTTCTTATCAAGCTCCTTCAATCTGAATCACCAAAGCAATAAAACCATAAAGCTGTTGCCATATGTGCAGTATTTTATCTATTATTTCCTGTTATCTTTCCACTCTACCTTTGCTTCCTGCTGTTTTCTTCATCGTTTGCCATTCACTGATGTCTTCTGACTCTCTGCTGCCCGCAGACCTCAGAGGAGGAGTTGTTTGGGAACAGTGAGGAGACTCCAGCCTTCATGGAGTTCCTCCGAGTGCTGGGAGACAGTGTAGAGCTGCAGGACTTTAAAGGGTAAAAGAAAACATGAAAGAAAGGCTGAAAAAGTTAGGATGAGTGAATATATAAATGCCCTGCAAAGGACAACGTGATTTCTCTGCATCACAAATACTTGTACTTTTAATAGCCTACCTCAGTTTTCACTCTATGACATATATTCAGGTTTCGAGGAGGTTTGGATGTGTCTCATGGTCAGACGGGGTCTCAGTCGGTCTACACTGTGTTCAGAGGGCAGGAACTCATGTTTCACATCTCCACCAAACTACCCTATACAGAGGGAGACATGCAGCAGGTGCTTCTGATTATAATTATGATTGAAATCTAGGGACAATCAGTAAGCTGTCACAGCGTGTAAATCATTATACGTTTCTTTTTCCTACACACAGCTCCAAAGGAAGCGGCACATTGGGAATGACATTGTGGCTGCAGTTTTTCAAGAGGAGGGCACACCATTTGTGCCTGACATGATTGCTTCCAATTTCCTCCATGCCTACATTCTGGTTCAAGTGGAAAACCCTGGAACAGATGACACCACATACAAGGTTTGTCATCAGAATTTCTTAGTTCTCACTTTACAATAAGATCCCATAATGCATTAACTAAAATTATTACACGCCTCTGTGGAATACTTGATTCTGATTGGTCAATAGCGCCATCCAGCGGTAAGTTATACCCAGATAACAACCGCTCAAAACAGATAATGCAGGCTCATCCGGGTTACTGAAGTCAGCAGCTCTATACGCCTGCTAGGAACGTTTTTCTTAGTGGAAGATTTGTATTTGGTGAGCTAACAAAGTATTAAAACTCAGTCGAATACATTTTTTGTGTACAGTTATTTAATTATGCCATCCAGTATCGTGGACTCGATCTCTCTTGTTTCATACGCAGCTGCTGCCATTTTGTGACTATTGTTTTGTAGCCTACACTGTTGGATTATGAGATACAAACAAGTACGGATTTAGAACAGTTTAATCTGAAATCAATATATCTTATACCCATAATTATTTATGTGGCGAAATGCTGTGTAATAAGTGGTATGACTGTATACCGTATCTCTTAAATGTCCGTCTAGTTTGAACCTACCTCGCTAGCAACTGGTCTCTGCGGAAGCTTTGCCTTTAAACACCTAAAATATTTCAACTCAGATCAATATTTAGTGTCTAACTATTTACTTATGTGGCAAGTAGCCGTGTAATAAGTGGGATAATATACATCCAGCCGTTGGTTCTCTCAAAATAACCCCATTCAGGCTGATCAAGACCTCATCACCCTGTCGGGGGGTTATTTTGAGGGAACCACTGGCTGGATGTACATTATCCCTTACTTGACTAACAATGAGCAATTCATTTGTTACAGTATTATTAAAGGGACAGTTCACCCAAAAAATTACTCACCCTCGTGTCGTTTCGAAACACAAATAAAGATATTTTTTAAGAAATCTGAGAGCTTTCTGTCTCTCCATTGACAGCTATGCAACTACCACTTTGACACTTCAAAAAGTTCATAAAGAGATCATAAAACTAATCCATATGAATGGAGTGGTTTAGTCCAAATTTTCTGAAGAGACTCGATCGCTTTATATGAAGTACAGATTTAATTAAGGCTTTTATTAGGCTTTTATTCACATATAAACATTGATCAGCAAACATAAGCAGAAGCCTAACCGTACCTGCTTGACGTGCGAGAACAAACCTCCTTGGTTCTTGCGGAAGATTAAACGTGCTGCGTAGTTCGAGAATTAACCTCATTGGTTCTTGCTGAACTCAAGCGTGCTGGGTAACACACTAGAATGAACCTCATTGGTTCTTGAGGAAGTTCAAACGTGCTGCGTAACACAAGAATGAACCTCATTGGTTCTTGAGTTTATCATAACTGATGTGTGAGTTGATGAATGTTTATATGTGAACAAAAGCCTAATTAAATCTGTTCATCATATAAAGTGATCGTGTCTCTTCAGAAAGAATTGCTTTACGATCTCTTTTTGACCTTTTTGAGGTGTCAAATTGGTAGTTGCGTAGACTGTCAATGGAAAGACAGAAATCTCTCAGATTTCTTTAAAATATCTTTATTTGTCTATCGAAGATAAACGAAAGTCTTATGGGTTTGAACCGACATTAGGGTGAGTAATTAATGACAGAGTTTTAATTTTTGGGTGAACTAACCCTTTAATCTTTGTTAGAGGGGTGGTTGATTATGATTTCACTTTTCTAACTTTAGTTAGTGTGTAATGTTGCTGTTTGAGCATAAACAGCATCTGCAAAGTTACAACTCTCAAAGTTCAAAGCAAAGGGAGATATTTGCTTTTAAAGAAATCGTTTTTTAAGGACTACAACAAAAGGCTGGTAGGAACTACACGAGCTTCCTCCCGGGTTAGTGACATCACTAACCCTAAAATTGACATAAACCCCGCCCCCGGGAACAGTCCATGTTGAGAAGAGGAAGAGCTGCTGTAGTCAAGCACATTTGTGTGAGTCAGCTCAAACTGTAGCATCCATCTTTTCACATGCAATAGAAAGTCACTCTGTGTGCATCTCACAACAGTTCCTATACAAGCGATTTATAGATTATCCTGACAGAATATGCGAATTTAAGATAGTTAACTCCACATCAGCAACATAAATTCATCAACTAACCATTCAGAGATGTCCTGTTGCATTCTACATGTTGTCACTTCTTCTTAGTCTCTCCATCTTTGTCTGAAAACATAAAAGGCAGTTTCTGACATTTTAGCGTGTGTCTGCGTGAGGTAATCGGAGCTGCTAACACACACACACACACACACACACACACACACACACAAGCTCTTGAAGCTCCGCCCACTGTGTCGGGAGCTGCAGCTCATTTGCATTTAAAGGGCCAGACACAAAACGATGCGTTTTTGCTAACCCTCAAAAAGTGACAACTTTAACATGCGATATAAAAATATCTGTGGGGTATTTTGAGCTAAAACTTCACATACACTCTCTGGGGACATCAGAGATTTATTTTACATCTTGTGAAAAGGGCATTATACCACCCCTTTAATGTTAGCTAAAAAATACAACTGTTCATTGTTAGTTCATGTTAACTAATGTATTAAACTAATGTTAAAAAATGGAACATTATTGTACTGAATTATTATAGTGAATGTTGAATTGTATTTATATGGTGCAGGTGTCTGTCACAGCACGTGATGATGTGCCACATTTCGGCCCTCCGCTTCCCAATCCGCCCATCTTCAAAAAGGTAAATTAGTGCACCACTACATCTGCCACACTAAATCATTTAATCAGTATAAATCCAAGTATATTCTCTGTGCCTTTTTGCCTAGTAAATTGATCTTGTTTTGTGGATGAATATTTTTATGTGAAAGCAAAGGAAATACTGATTAGGGCAGACAGTTTCCTGTCAAGATTATTGTTTATCTGAAGCACACATTAGGTTATTGCAGGCAGGATTTTGTCACGTCATTGTCTTTTAAGGCAGTTCTTGCATCTTTGTTACATTTGCGGTGTCATTCTATTCTCTCTTAGGGTCCAGAATTCAGAGAGTTTCTGCTGACCAAGCTGATCAATGCAGAGTTGGCGTGCTACAGGTCAAACCGATTTGCCAAGCTTGAGGTGAGGAAACAATAGAGCATCCTTTATTACCGCATTACAGTCCTGATGTACGTATCAGGCCTTTGCTGTTCATAAGTTTCTGCTTTGCCACAATCTCTGACTGTTTAGTCATTATGTTGTATTGGGGGTCTCAGAGACCCAAAGGCCCTTTTAATAGCTTGAGAAAAAAAATACTTAAATAACTTGATACTTCTTTTCTTTTCCAAGTCCTACAATAACTGATTATAAACCAAACATGATAACTCTCTCAAACGACCTTCTTTAAAAGTGTTACATTTTAGGTCATAGAGACTTCAAATTTCAAACATGAATAAAAGTATTACTTTCTTTTAAAAAAAACATCTAATCTTACTGACCTCAAACTTTTGAACAGTAGTGTTTGTAATAAGGCATAAAAAAAAAAATTGTTTGGTTCCGGTTTCCGACCGACCCTGTCAATTTATGTGCGACCCAAATTTATTTTATGAGCTTGGGTAAGAAATAATAAAATTTAATAAATACACAAATAAAAAACTTTGAGGCGAACTATAATTTACGTTTTTGTACAGCACCGTATTTTTATAGCACGCGATGCAAGATGCCTGTCCTCCAGCAAAACAAACGAGGCAGCTACATGGTCGTTCACACATCGTTCGTCAAACTGAACTATAATACATATACAAGTCTTTTTTTTTTCTTTTTTTTTTGTTGTCATTTAGGACACTTTTATTCATATACGCACACATACAAATGCATGCATTCATAGGCACGCACACACCACATGATGCGTTAAAGAGTGAACCTCCATCCGCCTCCCAAGTTTCATTAAAAATCATCCCAAATCCCAATACCCTCTTCTGCTGTCTACCACTTCTTTCGCCATGTATTTGTTCGTTTCTTTTATTATTTTATGCAATCCAAAACACTCTAACCTGCCGCGCTTCGTATCTCCAGAGCCCGTCTAACTTGTCCGGGACAAATGGATTTTTGAAGGACAAGTTAGAGAATTTTACTTGCCCGAACGGACAAGTAGCCTGATTAGAACATCAATAACAAACAAAAAATAACTAGGGAATCACTAAACCGAGAGAATGATTCTGATTTTATTACATTTATTGTAAGTTGCGATCGATTGTGGATGTATTAGCCTGCTGACGGTGAGGTTGCGCTGTTGACGCTCGCGCAGCCTCTCGAGGAGAAATCTACACACATGAGCGCAGCACACACACACACACACAGGTTAACAACATACTGCCTATAAAAAATCTAAATGTGGAGTTTCTATATTTTAACATATGTGTTAAGCAGCCTCAATTATTTTTCCTGAATACCATATCACGATTGAAAATGTGACATTGATTTCCTACAACAGTTCAATAAACAGTTAAAATTAAGTCACTTACATTTTAGATGCAATATTGGCTGTTTCTGCAGCGAAAATAGTTCCAAACAAAAATCACAGCAGAACCACGGCGCATCTCACAGGAACACTCAACCTGTTTTCATTACTGAATGATTCTGCATTTTGACCGAATCGGTTGAGTCAAAGATTCAATGACCCATTCATTAACATCTGTCTCATTCTTGAATGAATCAACCGTTTAAACGAATCATTTGAATTAATGAATCAATGACTCACTCATTAATACGGCCGCCTGCCGCCACCTATTGGCAGTTTAGTGTTATGTTTATAAGTAGCCTAGTATACTTCTTTCCAATGTTTCTTATTTGTACATTTAAATCAATTTCATAACATTATTTTATGCAATTGTAATTTTTCAGTGTAAATTATTTAATTTGATCAGCCCTACCTAGGGTAACAGTATGCTCCATCTTTCATTTTAAATTCCTAAATTTGATCAATAAATTCAATTATTTAGAATAAGACGACACTATAGGGCATTTAATAAGATTGGGGGAGGGGATGCCCTTCAAAGGTGCAGATATTACAATATGCCAATTTAAATATCAAAGCTGATTGAACACTGATGAGAATATTGCTTCAGAATAAATAAATAAAATTTAAAAAAATCCGAAACAAGCAACTTTTTTGATGTGAATGACAGATTTACTTGTTCGGAGGGCAAGCACATGAAAAGGCTTAAGGTCGAGCCCTGAATAATTTCCTACCTATCCCTTGCTGCCACTGAAAAAAAAAAAAAAAAAAAAAAAAAAAAAAAAAAATCCCTACCGACCCATGACCTCAACTGACAACAAACCGGAACCAAACTTTTTTTTTTTTTATGCCTAAGGGCCTCTGGGACCTCAAATGTAACAAGTCAATCTCAATAGTTAACTCGTGTAATGGTTTGTGTTTGTGTGATAGGAAAGAACACGAACAGAACTGCTAGATAACCTTCATAATGAGTTACACAAGCACACACAGGCAATGCTGGGTCATCCGCTCAGCGCAGATGAAGAGAGGATGGAGAACGGAGGACATGGAGGAATACTGGAGTCTATTAAGGTAAAGTCAAAAAGATCAACCGTCATATTCACATGGGCAAACTATCCCTTTGACGTCTTTTTGTCTGTCTCAGCGGGCGATGCGTGTCCGCAGTCATTCTATGGAGACAATGGTGGGCTCCCAGAAACATGGCCGCTGTTCTTCGGCGGGAGGGGGCGTTCCCACCAGCCTGAGTGGGGTCGGCCTGATCCACAGCAATACTGAGGCTGCTAAGTCTCCTCTGAAGAGCCCGGTGAAGAGACGCTCAGGGCTGTTCCCACGGCTGCACACCAGTATGGATGGACAGTCAGAGCGCCACACACGCAGGTCTGACAAATACACAAAAAATCAACACTTACAGATTTGTAATCAGTATACATATAAATCAGGCTCAAATATGATAGTTTAAAAAATGACATATAATAAGCCAAAATATCTCTTGGTATATAGTTAGTCAATGTGCCACAGGGTTTTCAAACTTTATGATGCTAAATATTTTTATGTATACAAATTGCATACTGTGTATTATATTTTATTATAAAGATGATGTCATAAAATCAACAAAATTAAATAGTTTAAATGTATATAGACAAAAAGTACTATATGGACAAAAGTATCGGGACACACCTCAGACCCATTACCACAGGGGTATAATATCAAGCATCTAGCCATGCAGTCTGTATTTACAAACATTTGTGAAAAAATGGGTAGTTCTGAAGAGCTCAGTGAATTCAAGTGTGGTACTGTGATAGGATACCACCTTTGCAATAAGTCAGTTCATGAAATTCATCCATTCAGCAGCAACTCAGCCATGAAGCAATAGACCATGTCAAGTCATAGAGCGGGGTCACTGAGTGCTGAGGTGCATGGTGTGTGAAAGTCACCAAAGTTCTGCTGATTTCATATTAGCTGAAAAGTTCCACTAATATCAGCACAAAAACTGTGCGGCGGGAGCTTTATGGAATGGGTTTCCATGGCGGAGCAGCTTCATGGAAGCCTCACGTCAACAAGTACACGCCACTGGACTCTGGAGCAGTGGAAACATGTTCTGTGGAGTCATGAATCACACTTCTCTGGTTTGCAATCTGATGAGCGAGTCAGTGTTTGGCGAATGCCAGGAGAACGTTTCCTGCCTGACTGCATTGTGCCAACTGTAAAGTTTGGTGGAGGAGGGATGTTCTTCTGGGGTTGGACTATGTACAGTATAGGCCCTTTACTTCTAGTGACGGGTAAACTTAATGCTTCAGGATATCAAGACATTTTGGACAATGCTATGCTTCCAACTTTGTGGGAACAGTTTGGGAAAGGCCCTTTTCTATTCCAGCGTGACGGTGCCCCAGTGCACAAAGCAAGGTCCATAAAGACATTGGTTTAGTTTGGTGTGGAAGAACTTGACTGGCCAGCACAGAGCCTTGACTTCTACCCCATTGAACACCTTTGGGATGAACTGGAATGGAGATTACAAGCCAGGCCTCCTCGTCCATCATCGGATCCTCTACCAGATTAATGGGCAAAAAGTCCCACAGAAACGCTCCAAAATCTTGTGGAAAGCCTTCCCAGTTATAGATGCAAAGAGGAGACCAACTCCATATTAATGTCTATGTTTTTAGAATGTGATGCCATTACAGCCCCTGTTGGGGAAATGGTCCAGTGTCCTACATGCCCCCCTCAGAATTTCTACCCCAAAAAATATTTTAGAGAGTGGAATAACTAGAAATATGTATATTCATTATAAAAATAACCAAATACTAAGAAATATCTTGATTTTTATTTTTTTGCTTGTTTAATTGTTGTTTTAGTTTAATGCTTGTTTTTATTTATTTTAAATAATTAAGTCATCTTGAGACCCCCTTGTGGGCCCCGGTCCCCTGGTTGAGATCCACCCCGGGACCCCCATTTGAAAACCCCTGCTCTAAATGATCAAATTATGTTTTTCTGTCATTTTAGTGTCCTATGTGATCAGAGAAGTCTAGATAGCGGTCATCTCTCACAGGAAGTGAGATCAGAGACGTCGTCCAATCCTAGCTCTCCAGAGATCCTGAACAATGAGAGGTAAGTTTCACCACTGGTATTCAGTAAATTCATACTCTTAATAGGTACTAATACTTTCTTTATTTCGTCTCTCTGTTTTAACAGGCCGCCTCTCAAGCTGAAAGAGGCCGGTGCAAAACCAGATATTTCTCGTTCCTCCTCTAGCACCAGCAGCTTCAGTAGTGCTGCAGGAGACACAGAGACTATGGAGGAGAAAGAGCCTGTAAGTAAATGTGTCTTCAGGCAGACTAACATGTTCAGTAAGTTAAAGTCACCATGAAATCAAAATCGACAATTCTTATTTTTTATGGAATATTGCAGTATTTATTATAAATAATTTCTTCGTGCACATAATTGATGTGCCCTGGTAATCTTTATTCAAAATAACTTCCCCTCCCTCTTGCAACGACATCTCTTCTCTGATGATGTGTTCACTGGTGCGAGGGCGGGACAACCTGTCACTCACATGACATCACAGCAATAGCAAACCACAACGATGTTCTACTTCGACAAGCTGTTTCACTCAGATATAGAGAATGTCACAATAAGGAAAAAAGATTATGGCAACTTCCGTTTCATGCTGACTTTATGTGTGTTGTGTCGTGTTCAGAGCAGCCTCCACATATCTCCCAGTCTCTCGCCCGTATTTGGCTCTGTGAGCACAGAGGGGCAGGGTGCAGGAACGCCAGTCATTATGTGCCGCAGTCCAACAGGTATCCGAGACTCTTTTCTCATATTTAAACTCTGAATTTAATATTTACAGCTTAATGTATCATTTTATGCATATCTCCCTACTAAAAGATTTTAAGAACAAGACTTCACCCAGATCCAATCTGAAGTTTCGCTTTGACCGATTGAGCCAGTCCGCTGCTGTAAGACTTCATTCTTTTATGACTTTAGTGTTGCTCTTTCATTGTTCGTCATCCTCTGTAGTGTTTTTCCATTTGCTTGTGTGTTTTAGTGTGAGGAGTTTTACCACTGAAAGGTAACTTTGAACTCTTAATTCACAGGGACATTAGCAAAGAGAATGTCAAAGACAACCAGAACCATTGTGAGTATGTATGTTACTATTGAAATTACAGTCATTAACACATGTAGGGCCAGATTTACTAAACAGGGCAAATTAGTGCAATCCCATAAAAGCACAGATGGGAGTGGAAGGTTCTGCTTGTGATCTACTGACGACACGCAAATTAAAGAACACAGATGCAGCCGGATCATTTTCATAATGACAAACACAATCTACCAAGAACAGTGCAAATTAGCGTCTGGTTTAAGACATGCTTTTATTGGGTGTTAAATAATGGCGCAAACACCAGTACATTGATGAGCGCAAACCTTAGTAAATCACCTTGCGTGATTCATTTAAATACTTTTTGCATCAGACATGGAAACTCCTACAAATGCAAATGCAATAAGGTCAGCCTCAAAAATAAGGCCACGCCTTTTCAGTGCCAATTTTTCACTGCTTGTCTTTATAAATCCTGACAGTAGTTTTTAAACGCCAAAAGAGGGTTTGCACTGGAGCAAACTGTTAGTAAATCTGGCCCATTATCTTGCAGGAAGAGTACATCAAACGGCTTTTTTTACTACTTATTATTTTGTATAAAGACTGGTCATTCTATAATTTTCGGTATATTTCATAACAGTGAATGATAATTACATTTTTCTAACAATTTTCTTTAAAAATATCATATTTTATCCATTAAGATAAAGGAAAGCATACTATAATCTCACACAAATATTTTGTGCAGTTTTTGCAATGTCTGGTTTTGAAGTGAGGTTGTATTGAGTTAAAAATAATGGATTAAAAATGTTATAGCATTATCTATATTAAAGAAAATGTTATAGCATTATCTATATTAAAGTTATTTGTAAACCTAATTTTTTCTGAAATCTAAATACTAAAACATTTTTTTAGATTTTAGTTTAAATGTAATTTTCTTTCAGATTTAAAATGTAAAAATTTAAAAACCTTTACAGATACATGGTTTTGTTCAACATATATATTATTTTTTTAGAAGTGAAAAAAGACCAGACACTTGAGTTAAAATTTGGGGGATGACACCTATTGAATTCCAGTGGAATAATTCATTGAATATTATTCATTAAATCAGTGGTTCTCAAACAGGGGCTCGCTGCCCACTAGGGGTCCTCAGCAAAATCTCAAGAGGGCTTTAGGGTAACTTGAAAGTATTTAAAGCTGCAGTCCGTAGCTTTTTTTGGGTTAAAAATTATCCAAAATACATATTTGAGAAAATACATAACCAGCCAGTGTTCAAAACTATCTGCTTGCCTTAGCTCGATTCAAAGCGGTAAGCTTGTAATAATGTTTTTAAGTCCAGTGGTACTGGTGGATTTCCGCGGGAGATTCGAGCATGTCTTTGCGTCATTACGTCACATCTGTACACATGAAGAAGGAGTCTCGGCTAGTATACGCTATATTGCGTGTGAGGATGTTGGAGGTGGAGATTTATAGCCTTTTCTCACAGCACTTGATATAATTAAACTTATCAATTTGATGGCGGATCCAGAAAGGTTCAAACGACAATCACCAGTGACAACAGATTCACCCGCTGTAAAATGCAAAAGACTTCGTTCGGACTTCAGAGTGGCTACAGAAAAAAGAGACTGCAACCGGCCCATGCGAAAACAAGGATACATATCGGAAGGACATTACATGTAGTCACGCAATGCTGACGTTGTTAACATTAACAATTTGAGAACAAAGTATAATTTGCACGGTTTTGCGTCATATGATAACTTATAAGCGATTGTTAGGTTTAATCAGCGCGATTTACTGCAATGTCAGAACTAAAACAAAAGTGGATATTTCTTACTACAACCCGAATTCCGGAAAAGTTGGGACGGTTTTTAAATTTGAATAAAACGAAAACTATAAGCATTTCAAATCACATGAGCCAATATTCTATTCACAATAGAACATAGATAACATAACAAATGTTTAAACAAAGAAATGTTACACTTTTATCCACTAAATGAGCTCATTTCAAATTTGATGCCTGCTACAGGTCTCAAAATAGTTGGGACGGGGGCAACAAATGGTTGAAAAAGCAAGAAATTTAGAAAGGATTCAGGTGGGAGAACATCTAGCAACTAATTAAGTTAATTGATATCAGGTCTGTAACATGATTAGCTATAAAAGGGATGTCTTAGAGAGGTAGAGTCTCTCAGAAGTAAAGATGGGCAGAGGCTCTCCAATCTGTGAAAGAGTGCGTAAAAAGATTGTGGAACACTTTAAAAACAATGTTCCTCAACGTCAAATTGCAAAGGCTTTGCAAATCTCATCATCTACAGTGCACAACATCATCAAAAGATTCAGAGAAACTGGAGAAATCTCTGTGCGTAAGGGACAAGGCCGAAGACCTTTATTGGATGCCCGTGGTCTTCGGGCCCTCAGACGACACTGCATCACTCATCGGCATGATTGTGTGAATGACATCACTAAATGGGCCCAGGAATACTTCCAGAAACCACTGTCGGTAAACACAATCCGCCGTGCCATCTCCAGATGCCAACTAAAGCTCTATCATGCAAAAAGGAAGCCATATGTGAACATGGTCCAGAAGCGCCGTCGTGTCCTGTGGGCCAAGGCTCATTTAAAATGGACTATTTCAAAGTGGAAAAGTATTCTATGGTCCGATGAGTCCAAATTTGACATTCTTGTTGAAAATCACGGACGCCGTTTCCTCCGGGCAAAAGAAGAGGGAGACCTTCCATCGTGTTATCAGCGTTCAGTTCAAAAGCCAGCATCTCTGATGGTTTGGGGGTGCATAAGTGCATATGGTATGGGCAGCTTGCTTGTTTTGGAAGGCACTATGAATGCTGAAAGCTATATAAAGGTTTTAGAGCAACATATGCTCCCCTCCAGACGACGTCTATAGACTATGTGCACGTTAGCATATGCTACTTCCGGCTGCGAAACCGATAGGGGGTGTCTAGTTTCCGGTAGCCTGATGGACGACGTAGAAGTAACGTTAAACATTGTTTACTTTTCACAATGCAGCAGCGCCTGGTTACCGTAATTCCTCAAATAAAAACCGGTATTCAAATAAACGCCGGGCCTCTGATAATGGCCGGGTGCGTGATCAACGCGGACAAATAAAGGCCGGGGGAAAATTAGTGTGGATAATCTCCTAAATGACTTTCATTGAAGAGATGTTACACCTGTCCACTTCATGCGTGTTCTGTGATCTGATCGTGAAAAGACCATGTATAAATGCCATCCGAAGCACATTCGAGACAATTTAAATCCGATCGCTCAAACCACTTCTTCAGGAGGAGATCTGAGACGAGATTCCAGACGAAACTGCACAAGTGTAAATCAAATGCATCTGATTGTTGAAACCACGTATCTAAATTTTACTCCTCCCAAAAACGCTAAAAAATAAGTGTGAGAGCGTGTTATAGGCTATGTAATGTTATAGCAAGATGTGACAACGCTACTGCAACACGCATCACTGCAGCCGAGCATCTATCCATAAAGCCAACGTGCAAACTATTGCAAATTAAAGTGAAAGTAAGTCGCAGACCATTCTCCTCATCATTAAAAGTAAAGAAACGAAATGATCTTACCAGGCTTGTTGCCGCTCTCGCTTATTGCGGTCTTTTGATTTAGAAATGAGCTGATCTATCAAATGCAGCTCATATCTGTTGCTTTCGGTGACGTCCACTCCATTAAATCCGCATATAGCGTGGGAATTGAAGATTTATATCCGTTTTGCGAAAACGCATTTGTGAGCAGATTTAAGTAGAATTGTTTTGATAAATCAGAGAGCTTTCCGATCTGAGAAAACACATGAAGTGGCCAGGTGTAAACATCCCCTAATATGCATTCAAGTTCATCGTAACGTACAGCCAATAGATGGTAGTAGACAATAGATGTAACACACATATAATTTAGTGCTGCTAGTGTAACGGTCTTTTCAACAACTTTAATGAAAACGAAATTGTCTTGAGGAGCATGGAACCCAGACGGAAATTTGATTTAGATTTTTTTTAAATAAAGCGCCTGCCTCTAATAAAAGCCTGTTACCTTCTGCAGTTTAGGTAAATAAAGGCCCCAGCTTTTATTTGAGGAATTATGGTATTACCACCGACTGCCCTTTGAAAAGTGAATCGGTTTTTTTTTATGTTTTAGGTCCATTGCGAACGATTAAACTAACTTAACGCCGGTCCACTGATGTAAACAAGACGGCAACCGGAAACGAAGTACCCAATTTCCACCCTCAAGCCGGAAGTTAGCATTTTTCTCGTGCACAGAGCGAATTTCAGGGAAGGCCTTGTGTATTTCAGCAGGACAATGCAAAACCACATACTGCAGTTATTACAACTGCATGGCTACATCGTAGAAGAGTCCGGGTGTTGAATTGGCCTGCCTGCAGTCCAGATCTTTCACCTATAGAGAACATTTGGCGCATCATTAAACGAAAAATGCGTCAAAGACGACCACGAACACTTCAGCAGCTGGAAACCTATATAAGGCAAGAATGGGACCAAATTCCAACACCAAAACTCCAGACACTCATAAACTCGATGCCCAGACGTCTTCAAACTGTTTTGAAAAGAAGAGGAGATGTTACACCATGGTAAACGTGCCCCCGTCCCAACTATTTTGAGACCTGTAGCAGGCATCAAATTTGAAATGAGCTCATTTAGTGGATAAAAGTGTAAAAATGTCTCCGTTTAAACATTTGTTATGTTATCTATGTTCTATTCTGAATAAAATATTGGCTCATGTGATTTGAAAGTCTTATAGTTTTCATTTTATTCAAATTTAAAAAACGTCCCAACTTTTCCGGAATTCGGGTTGTAGTTCAGATGACATTTTCCGGTGAAAATTCTTATGTTGGTCACACTTCCAAAAAGAATAATCTGTGATTCTGAATGCCAGGATCCACACCGGCGCGGTGACTGACAGCCTCACACAGTCTCCTCAAACATTGTGTTCATCCGCGCTGTGCCGTGTCGAGGGTGTTGAAGTACAACTCACGTAAAGTTGATTATTCCGCGAATGACTGCAATTGCAGATTTCGAACAGAGATGGCGACAAAGAGGATAAAAGCCGGACTGCAGCTTTAAATGAATAAAATTATGTTTAATATATTAAAATACTAAATTAATTGTGGTAAATTTATCAATACCCCCAGTTTATGTAAAAAAAAAAGCAGATTTATCATAATTACAGCACTGGAAATAGTAAAAGAAAATGCATAAAATAATAAAAAGAAAAAAAAACAAGAATCCACAACACAGAACTTGGTTAAAAGAGCTCTTGCCACAGAAGGTCTTGTGATATCAAAGTCACATTAAAAATACCCCCGCTTTACAATATTTTACTGATGGATTCAAAAAGAGCGTGACCGAAAATGTATCATCGGAGTGATGGATAATGATTATTTGTGGCGCAGGCTCTGAGTATATCTGTAATGGCCAGTATAAAATGACTCTCATAAGTCATAATTCTGTTATGTTATTGTCAAAATGATGTTTCTTATTTGGTATTTACTAACACCTTAAACTCACCATTTAATTAGAAAAGCAATGGATCAGCACCGAAGATCAGACACTGTCGGAAAGAAGGAGGGAATTTAAAGAGGGACACATCACTCCTGCGCTCCACTCTGAACATCACAGGATTAAGCACTTATCTCCTCTTATATCTTACTTATATCCGCAGGTTGTCATCTGCTGCTGACCTGGCACATTTATTGATTTTGCACATTTTGAGAAAGTCGTTCACTGTAAAAGAGTTAATAAAATACTAACTTATACAAACTGGATTAGTAGTTCAATAATAGTAACTATTCTCACTCAATAATAATAATAAAATGACAGTTTTTTTTTTAATTAACAAAATTCCCAGCTCCTGAATCACTCCACAGTATTTTGAGAACAGTGTGAATGACTGCCAGGACTGGATATACAGTAGTTTGATGAAACTGACCACAGCAGATATTCATTGTACACATTCATTTCATTACTAAATCAGTCACTTGTCTTTGAGAAATAAAAGGTTAGCACAGCATTGCCTTCCTCTGTAAATCTAAAACTTGTGCAATTCCTTAAAAAAATGACCTAAAGTTGTTTGGAGATGTAATTACTGTGTCCCCTGAAGAGTTTTTTTATAATATATATTATTAGAAGAAAAAAAAAACGTGTAGTGTACTAACCTCTTATTTTTAAATGGGTACTTCCATGACTGATGCCTATGTGTACATATTAGAAAATCACTGATTGCTCTTATGTGTATATTTATTGTGTATATTCATGGAAGGAAATGCAGAAGAATACATCTTTATTGTCACAAATAGCTCAGATGTGTTGCATGTGACAATTTAAGAAAGACTTTTCCATTCTGTTTTTAAGTCAAATCATTTTTTTGTTTCTTTGCTTAACAAAACGAACAGTGTTAATTTATTTCTCTATGATTGTACTGCTACACATGTAAAGGTTTCTGGTAACACTTTACAATAATAGTTCATTAGTTAACAACTTTAGTTAAGATGAACTAAGAATTATACTTCTACAGCATTCATTAATCTTAGTTAACAAACACTGTAACAAATGTATTGCTCATTGTTAGTTCATGTTAGTTAATAGCCTACATTAACTAATGTTAACTAATGAAACCTTATTGTAAAGTGTTACCAGGTTTCTGTAGGGAAAAGTTGATTTTGTTAAATAAAATATTGTTTTTTGCAGTGGTGTTGATTATATTGTAGCCTCTGTTTTATTCGTAGCTTCTCTCGCCCCCCTGACTGTATAATCATAATGCACTGGGTCTCTTACCTCTTTTTTCAACAATATGTATGGCAGGGACTTACAATCTGATGAACAGTGATCTATGACAGTACGGACATGCAGTGGCCCCAAAAATTACATGGATGCTTAAGCCACATTTAAAACTGTATGAATGCCATTAAGTAAGGTGGTAATAACAATAAAATGTAAACTTTGTTTTTACATTTTTCTCTTAACTTTTCCACAGACCCCCTAGAACCCGTCTTGTGACTCATGATGGACCTCAGTTTCAAAATCCCTGAATATATAGTTAAAAATGCTTTATTAAAATTATTTATACATACTTTTTTAAAGTATCCAAATACTTGTGGGTGCTGCTGTTTGTCCATCAAAGAAAGTGAAATAAAACGTTCCATCACGAAAAGCATGGTTTGTGGATTGATTATTTTTATGGCTTATTTTACCTGATTTATTCATTTACCTGATTATTATATCGGATCCTATTGGCCCCTGAAATCATTCTATGAACAATGTGAGTATGTGACAGAAAAGCTTATTATGAATGCTCTTTTAATACATAAGCAAGGCTACCTGTAAATTAATTCTAATAAACACTAAATGTAATTTACTTTAACTGATTAATTACCATTTACTAGCAGACTGGAAAGATAATTATACCGATTCTACTCTTTAATCCAAGGATCCTGTTCCTGTGTATCGCATACACATTGCACCCATAATATGTTAGGGAATGTATAATAATCTGCTTTAGTGAAAGAGGGCGTGTCACAAACTGGCAGCAACTGTCTCTTGGCCAGCGTGTGTGTGTGTGTGTGTCGCGAGGCTCAAACGCACTTAGCACAGCTAGCGCGAGGCACCGTTCCCTTCATTGAGAGAGAGTTAGCCGTTAGCTCGTTTAAAGACTGATCATGGCGGCGGTGCGCAGCCTGCGGGTGTCAGTGAAGTCCGAAAGCGCGTCCGATCGTTCAGAGTCCGAATCGGAATCAGACTCGGATCGAGATGCCCGGGAAGCGGAGCCCATGGAAGTGGAGGAGGGAGAGCTGGAGTCCATTCCTGTTCGCCGAAGTTTAAAGGAGCTTTTGCCGGTGAGTTATTCCGAACCGTAGGCCTCTTTCAAACCACGGCCTCGCGTAGTACAGGATCCGGCCGTTGGTGGGGCCAATGCTGTGTTTAGTTCAGAGCGAGGGTTCGTCGCAGCACTTAGCCTGCTTCTGAAAAGGTTATGGTAATGGATTTATGGTGGGTTATACTATTTGCATAAAATATAGCGTTAGTATGTGTGTTTTCGTATGATCTTGTGAAAGTAATGTGAATCTCTGGCCCAAGTTTCCTAAGACTAACAGACTTCATTTGGCGCACTGTTATGTCTACTGATCAATTATTCTGATTGTATATGACAGTGCAACCAAACCCATATTGCAGATTAAAGTGACCATCTTGAATCAAAAACTGAGGTGAAGACATTCTGCTGTATTTGCTGCTCGCGTGCATCTCTGTATGATTAACGTTAACTGTTTCCACAGGACACCAGCCGACGCTATGAAAATAAGGCTGGAACCTTTATCACTGGAATCGATGTCACGTCTAAGGTAAGTGCCAGCTGAATGTGTGAATATATTAGCCGGCCTAGTAATGTACCTGTTGTTCACCACATTTTTACGTGTTCAGGAGGCCATTGAGAAGAAGGAGAAGCGAGCAAGAAGATTTCATTTTAGCGCAGAGGAAAATCTGGCGCAGAAGAACGTTGTTCTGGACCGGGATGTGTTGAAAAAAGGTAAGAAATCTTAAACAGCTGTAGCCCAACAATTGATTTAAATGTGACATGATATTAAATGTCGTTCTATCCATTTACTAAAGGCATGATATTGGTCTTATTGTAAACAATTCATATGTGCACGTTCAGTGGCGGATTTAGCAAATTGGGGGCCCAAAGCGAAGGTATATATGGGCGCCCCCCCCCCCATCCCATCCCATCCCATCCCATCTTTATGAGAACGAAAAAAAAAAATTACAGACTGAATGGTAGGAAAAGCTAATCTACGGGGAAGTAAAGGTTGGAGAGGAGAAAAAAAAAACCTTCCCCAACAGAGAATAAGGTTTCAGATAACACCTGTCTTTGCCAAAATGTTAAGATCAAATCAATATCAATATAACCAGCAAGACAAGTAGTTAGGGTAAACCCCCACAAACAGCCATATACTTCGCAAATATTGCCTAGATGAATAATTGACTTTGAATGAGTGAGTGAGGTTGCAATTGGCATTGCACATGAGATTGACATTTCAAACATTCTACAAACAAACATTTTTATAGGTTTGTATTAGTTTATATATTTTATAATGTAATAATTTCACAGTTAATCTACAAATGAATGTAGAGACAACATAAAGACAGTATATTTTAAATACTTGTTTAATGGCATCTTTTTATGAATGAAGGTCGGTGTCACTGATACTAATACAGCTATTGATGTCTGGATAAAAATGAATTTTTTCCCCTAATTTTAAGCATTAATTATAGCCAGCCATCCAACATTACAGTGTAATTGAAAGCCAAAAAATTACATTTTGTTAGGCTTCAAAAAATATATAACAACTTTTAATTTACGTGAACTTAAAACAATCATCAGATAAACCCATAATAAATGTCATATTTACCTTTGCCCTTTCTGTCTAACAGGATGTATAGACGTTATCCTCAACTAGCGTCACTTCACAGCTGCTGCTGTAGCGGCATGTGTCCCCAACAGTAGGCGTAAAAAAGTTTGTCATTTTTGAGCCGCTTCGTTTCATTTTCGCGTTTAGACCATAGACTGTAAAAAATATGGACAAAGCGTCTGTGACGTCACCCATAGACTTTCTGAAGAACGGTTTTGAGGCGGTTTGTGGGGGGTATGGGCGGTGCCATCTTGGAAAATCTTACGATATTTCAAATACAAATGTTCAGAAAGGATACAGAGGTGGTATGATGTGTTGTGTCTAGGGCTGTGAATCTTTGGGTAGGCAGCGAATCGATTCGATTCACGATTCATAGGTTTTCGATTCAAGAACGATTTTTGCAAATTCAGAAAGATTCGATCCAATGCGATTCACATTAAAATTCGATGCGATTCGATTAATTCGATTCGATTCTTAATTTTTTATATGCATTCATAGGATTATTTAAATGCTTCCCCCAATGGGTCTTAGTCAGGGTGTGAATTATACAGCTGCCTTCGGGGGTCAGAGAGTGGGGAAGAAAAAAAAACCAACGACATTTTGTCTATTGTTAACGTTAGTTCATGTTAGTTTTTAATGAATCTATTATTATAAAAAAATATTTCCAAAGCCTATAAATTAGCATTTGTAAAAATGTAAACCAAGATTTAAAAAGGCTTTAAAAGTATAGTTAGTTCATCATGCAAACTATTTTGTAGGAATGGATACACAACCTTAAAGTGTTCCTGGTACATTAAACATCCTCCATTGTGAGACTAAAAATACCATGAACTTTCCCAACTAAACCTTAACTAACGTTTCCTCATGGAATAGCTACTCTTTGTTCTCTTTATCCGACTGAACATTTTCCTTGTGATTCTGAAAGAAAACGCGCCGGCTGTCTACTTGTGCTATATTAACGATTACGAATGCAACTTTAATGCGCATCTGATTGATGGATAAACCACGCGCTCTTATTTCAGTGTAATTAATGTTGTAGTTATTTTATCAGTTCAGTTTAACGACATTAAGTTACATTTCATTCATCATTCATGATTAATCGGAAGCGTGTGCATTTTAGACACCTATTATACGTTTTCTCTTTCCATGTAATAAATGCGCACCCTTGAATAAGTGGGGTTTTACTTTAACTGCTCAGGACGGGTATGACCCATTTCCGTAAAACTTCAGTATCTTAACTTAAAGAAAATAACGGTGACGTTTCCACGCAACGAACGCGTTGTTTCATAGCAGTGACCACGCAATGATATGGCAGCTTTATCAATGGCTTGCTTTCTCGATAGAGAGCTGTCATCTGCTCATGTGAACACCAATGGCTGTCCCGAGGAGAGCTCAAACATCGACTGCTCAAAAATCTGTAGATGAGAGCTATATGGGACCGAGCGCGAGCGAAATCCAGTGAAAGATGGTAAGAGTGCAGCGAGTATGTGAGAGCTGTGAGGACGCGAAATGACGCCGCACAACGCCTCATTAATTCGCGCATGTAGTCATTTAATGTTTATATGTTTTAAAGCACTGAATCGATATAGAATCGCAAATTATTAGATTCTTAGCATTTTAAATCGAATATTGACCGAAATAAACGATTCACGATTCGAAATACATGTTTCAAGATCGATGCATTTGCATCGTCAGGATTTGTAATCGATGCATCGAGAAAACGAATTAATCGTTACACCCCTAGTTGTGTCAGATCATGGCCGAGACGTCAAATTTCAGGAATTCCACTCGGCGCAGCCCGTTATCAGCTGTCGATCACGCGCTTATTTGTCATACATTTTATATCTAAATACGATCTAAACTACCGAGTTAGAAAAAAATTCACCCCCCTCACAGTTGTCAGGCACTCGGAACCTATCGAAAAATACAATAAAAGTCCATGGGACCAACCTGTAAAAACATGAATTTATGCTGTGAAAACTGACATTTTAACATGCGGGTCTATGGAGATTTGCTCCCTTTTGGGACCTCCCTCTAGCGGATTTTCGATGTATTGCAGTTTTTCGCACTTCCGGGTAGGCTTCATTTTTCAGATTAGAATGTTGCCGCTTGGTTTAGACTCGTCTTGCTTCGTTGTGTACTTCCCAGTCCTCCTGTCATGTTTATCTTTCGCGGTTTCGCAC